TATGAGGTTTCTCATGTGCGACCGCCATTACACGAGTGAGTGCGGGGTCGCGTTCCTCCGCGATACCCACAGTGAACGCTGACCCAGCAGTCAGAAAAGCATAGTCAATAAAGTCCTTTAAACTACAATTAAATTTACCCTCTGGCATCCATGATTTTATGGATTCATTCAATCCATAACGAAAGATATCCTTTAAGGTTTCCTCCTCAAAAGTTACCCTAAACGATAACTCACAGAACTGAGTTACGTATTCCTCAAAAGGTGAACTCCCTGTCGTGAATCGAACAGCCGGTCGATTGGGTTCGTACTTGGCCAAAGTCCCTTAGGAAAGCCGCTGGATCCTCGTGTGGCCGAGTATTCTGTAACGGGGCTGACGAGACGCGAGACGTGCGGATTCATATGCAAAGCTTTATTTGGAGAAGACAGGGACATGGTCATAAGACAGGCAGGGTAAACAGTGGCAACCAGGAATATGGCGGGCAAGACACAAGAATAATCCTAGGGCTAGCGTCGGGCGACGATAGGCAGACAGAGTCACAGAGGCAAGGCTAAAGGGAGAAGTCCAGGAAAACAGGCGTCCATCGCACAGTTTCAGAGCCTTTAAAATGAATCCGACACTGATGAAGCTTCTACTTGAACATAATGAAATGTGTAGCATTGGGAAAGCTGATTTTTGCAGCTATAACTCTACAGACAAGCAGCTGCAGCACAGACTGTGTGTGATTATCAGTGCCAGTCTGAATTCACACCACAGTCCTGCAGCTCGTGAGCTCTTCTGACAGTATTAGAGAGGCAGACTGATCTGTCACATATTTTAACTAGAAAATATTGCTTCTTCTTTCTGCAGTACAATCCTCACAGATCCCAGGTACCCGCTATCTTATTTCTTCAGTAATTTATTTATTAATTCATCATTTACAACTTCAGTGTAAATTTGTATTTTATATTTTATTCATTATAAGTATGAAAAGTCCCAGTGGTTGTGGTGATTTTCTCAGACTGCAGTGAAGGTGGAGTTTGTCGTTCCTCCCAGTCGAATGCTGATCGTCGGCACTGGTGTAGTGGGTGGGTTCATCTTCCTCGTTATCATAGTGTTCCTTCTGCTGAAGGTAAGAACCAATCAAGTCACCTTACAGTTGATCTCATCATTCCCCTATCAAATTCTCAATCCAATCTCTGTGTGTGTGTGTGTGTGTGTGTGTGTGTGTGTAGAGTGGGTTTTTTACACTAAAGTACCCTGAAGTGAATGAAAATAGGATGGTGGTTCTCATCAACTTCAGCACTAAAGAAAACTGAAGTCTGAGTCAGTGTTTTGAACCAGGCCTCAGAGCTGAAGATTATCTTTTTATGTTAATGATGTTTTAATGGTCCAGATTTATGACAAAGTTTTCTTCAGTTTCAGTGTGTTCAGTATGTTTAGTTCAATGATGTTCAGCGTGTGTTGTAATGGCTTTTCCACTTCTTTCCAGTGACTTTGTAGTTTATTTATAATATCTTACGTTACATTTTATGGTGTTTTTTTCTATTAAAAAGTTTTGAATTATTGTAGTTTTTATTCAGTTTAAGTCTTGACTAAATCTTTAAGCTTCATCTTTATTTTTCTCAAAGAAAAGTGTTCTGTGAGTAACCTTCATACTGAGTATTGGTGGTCATTTTAAAGGGGTCATATGATGCGATTTCTTGTTTTCCTTTTCTTTAATGTGTTATGTAGCTGTTTGTGCATGTATACGATCTGCAGAGTTACAAAGCTCAAAGTGTCCCACAAAAGGATTTATTTTATCTAAAAGAGAAGGCTGATTCAGGCCGGGCTAAAACACCTCATTCAAACACGCCCCCACATGTCTACCACATGATGTGGAAATATTTGCGTTATGCTGCCCAAATGTGCACGCAAAGAAAGAAGGCGTGGTTTCAGGAACAGCAGTAGTGTTGAAGCAGCATGTCAGGGAGACGCTGTGTTTCAGTGCGAAAGCAAAAGCACTTTATTTGGCCTTCTGGAAGTAGATGCATTTAGGAATCATTGTTAAGATTTGTTTACAACAAAACAGCACAACCCAAATGTTAGAATCTGTGCAACGCATTTTATGGACGACAGTTTTGTGAACCTAGGAGAGTACAAGGCTGGCTGTGCACAAAGGCTATTTCTAAAAAAAAAAGGATAAATTCCGGCTTTGCTATGACAATCTGGCGCTTCTGAATCAGCGACTGTAAGTATGTTTTGTTATCAGTTTAAGTATTTGCTATTGACTGTTCAAATGCAGAGTTTTGCGCAGCGCAGAGTAACGCGTTGTGTGAGAGTGTGTGTGTGTGTGTGAGAGTGTGTGTGTGGGGAACAGGGTCACATCACAGGAGAGTGAACTGTCTGTCAGAAATCATAGCACGTCAGCTGTCTTAACCGTGGATTGTGTACTGCATCATCACTGTGTCTGTCACGTGACTCTGTTGCCCTTTCGGGCTTGAACTGATGGTAAAACTAACAACATTATTAACTGTCTTGATATTTATTTTGAAAGATGAAGCTGGCGATTATGGTAAGCAGCATTACATTTCCGACGAGCGCTTGTGGTGTTCGGCCAATCACAATGCACTGGGTCAGCTGACCAATCAGAGCAGACTGCGCTTGTCAGTTTGAGAGAGGCGGGGCATAGAGGACCTACAATAATGTACAGTATTTGAAAAATAATGTGTTTTTTGAACATTAAAGCATCAACATATTCTGTTACACCAAATACACAAAATAATGATCTTTAAAATAGCATCATATGAGCCCTTTAAGACAACACATAAATAAATAATCATTGTATAAATCTGGGGCTTTTAAAGTCAAAGACAGTGGGCTTCCTTTCAGACACAACATGGTTTTCTGAAACCACTGCAAACCAAACCTGATATCAATAAAATGTTACCAAGCAACTGCTGGAGTAAATGAACTGTAATAAAATAAAAAAGCTAATTATAAGTAAAATGACTAATAAATATAATGGAACAAAGACACAAGTGAAATAGTGTTTAAAGCTTTTCAGGTGACTTTATTCAAGTAAGAAATATTATAGAAATTGAATCAAATATAAAATAAACTGCATAGTCTTCACTGTCACTTTAAGACCTAATGCACTTATCTAATGTTAGCACATCTCATTTTCTCTGAAAAGACTCTGTTTATGTGAATACTCACCAAAACGGGCATTTTGAGATGTAAATGTTTATTTGACCGTTCAAGCGCAGTAAGCCACAAGAGAACTTGATTCGGTTCTCAGAAACAGCGTGAACAGAAAGCCGACATATAATAAACTAATTAGTTCCCTTCCGAGGGAAATTCGAACTGCGTCCTCTAGGCGTCGCTATGGGGAACGCCTTCAGCGCAACCGGTGTCTGAAGCATACTTCTAAAAATTACAATAACATTGGCCGGCGATAGCCTATGACGTCAATACCTGGCGCGATCACAGTATAAAAGAGCACCGGGCAACAACTTGAGCTGCATTCTATCTGTATTTGATGATTTTGGTAATATTTTAACTTACAAACAATTTATGAATCTCCATAATTTTCCAGTCCCATCAAAGGAATATAATACTTTAATGAAAGCTATCCCAGCAGGATTAACCCAGTTAATTAAAAATCACCTTAAGTTTAGTAAAGGCAATAGTTTTTATCTGGCTTTACGTATGGGTGGTATCGATATCTTAGATCAGAAATGCAATAACCGACATCTTTGCAAAATATTTCAAACAAAGAGAAAGATTACTCCAAGAGGGAAATTCTATCGGGGTTCCTTTATAACAAATATAAATTGGAGAAAGGCCTGGCTTTTGCCAAGTACATTTTGTATATCCAACAAGGTTATATAAACCCTGAACACGCTCCTCAGGTGAGAGTTTGCTGTGCTTCCATCAATCCCAAACATTGTGTTTGTGCTCATATTTAAGACCGAATATAGGGGCTTTTGCACCACAGAGTCCAGGAGTTTAAGGGATGAGCCAGCAGGGTGGTTCCTAGAGAACCAATTTTGGGCCGTTTTCCTGGTTGCATTCGCACCGGCAGCAGGAACTCTGAAGCGGCCAACAGCAACGTCTTTATTTGCGGCATTTATAAACGTCAACAGCTGGTGAGTGGAGGACGCCATGTTCGGAGCTGTTTTTTTGTGTGTCGTAGGTTTCGTGATAACGGAGATGAAATGTGTAAACACAATTTACACGATAGAAAGAGCATGAAAATCTGACTAAATCTATAACAACTTGCAGTGTTACATATCATAGAGGCTGAGAAAATATGCCGTTATCGCTGTTTTCCATGTTCATGGAGTAAATATTTTTTTTACTGCTTTTTGAAAATGCCGAGTAGCCGGTGTTTTGTATGCGTTTGGCCAATCAGCATACACTTACATCACTGGTAGTTCCTATAGAGCTGTTATAGACCCTACTCTGAAGTACAGGGACATGCACAGATATTTTGAGGGGCAGGGGATCAAGTGGAAAAAAGGGCACTTCTCACATTTATTAATTTTTTTTTTAAACAAAACGTTAAATATATTAGGGGTGTGTGATATTGACAAAAAATATATCTCAATATTTTCTGAGATTTTATCGATAGCGATAATTAGACGATATTTTGCTGAGTGTGTTATTGTGTTGATATCTTAAGGACTACCGTGGACAGCTGACTCCTGAAGATTTTGATATTCTTCATATTCTGTGGTGATCCGTTCACAGCAGTGATAGAAATTCATCTTTTCCAGTACGTTTAAATAGATTTTTACCTTTTATAGGCATTTTTACCTTTTATTAAGCCATTTTTTCTAAAAGTGTGCATCATCTTTTGAGTCAAATTCTTAAATTAAATCAGTCAATTAGAATAAGTTATTTGGGTTGTTACCAAGCAAATTAAATCAGTATTGACAAAACTGATCTTTGCAATGCAGAGGAAACACAGAAGCTGCATCTGAAGAGCATTTAGATGCAGTTACAAATGCATTAATACTGTTTTGATATTTTAAACATAAAGCATTGAATACTGATATTTAAAATTATTTTTAAAAAAATGAAAAGATACTTTAAATGTGAAATTAAAACTGTCAGTAGATGGCAGCAAGTCACTATTAATAAGTGAGTTATTGCGACTGAACCGAATCATTTAAACGCTTGATTCATTCAGGAACAAAATAGCATCATGTTGCTCAGAGATGCAAATTGAAATTATATTTGTCAGCGAAATAGACCAAAAACAGTCAATATTGTCTCTAAAATGTAAGTGTCTTAATATTAAATTCTTGTTTATTGAACTGCTGTATAAAATCAATATCACATTTGTAATCATGCTGCTTTTTGGTGGAAAAAACGTCAGTCTTCGCATGATACTGATTAACTATATGAAATTATATAAATATATAAATCAGTCTGAACTACTTTGAATGTTCGAGTGACAACACATTTAATGCATTTAATCTCACATCATGTTTCACGGTGACTGAGAGGACCAGCAGCACAGGTAACATCAATGAAGTTTCAGAGAGTCTCTCTTTTACATGAAGGATATGGCCTTCATGTCTTACCCCCTCATGTCTTCAGGATCTTTGGAGAAGAAGCTGAATGCTTCTCTGAATGTGGATGTGGTACGAAAAATGAGTCGAGGATTCTTTGACCAGAGGAATGTGTCGTCCAGGACTCTGCAGCAGTCCGTCCTGCTGGATTCTGGGTCCTCCTGTTTCAGCTTCTCCATCTTCATGCTGGTACGTGTCGTCTATCACAGCTTCAGCCAATCTCAGAGCTTCAGTCTGATGGTGAACGTTGTGTTTGTTTCAGTGCTGTGTTGCAGACACAGTCTCTCCTCTGAAGATACGAATTAATTTCTCACAAACTGATATGTTGTCTGGAAACTCTATGGCTGTTCTTGATGTTCACAGCAGGACGGAGGAGTATGTCGAGGTGAGCCGAGCTTCACACATGTCAACTTATACTCTTGTTAGATATATTGATGGGAGAAACTGAGTTTTCATAGCTCTGAATCATTTGAACCAATTGCTTAAAATGATAATGATTTAGAGCTGTTTCTTTCAGGTTGCAGTGAAGGTGAAGTTTGTCGTTCCACTCAATCAGATAAAGTTGATCGTCGGAAGTTCCGTGGGGGGTGGGTTCATCGTGTTCCTTATCATATTGGTAGTGCTAGTGAAGGTAAGAACCAATCAGCAATCACCTCACACATGATGTCATCATTCACCTCTCACATTCTCAATCCAATCTGTATGTGCTTGTGTGTGTGTGTGTAGCATGGGTTTTTTAAACGGATGCACCCTCAAGACTTCTTCCAAGCGGATGAAAATGTGACCTTGGTAAAGAAAATGTCGGCAGAGAGCAAGAGAATGGATGGATGTAAAATGGAGTGAAAATATTTGTTTAAAACTTATAATACTTCTTTTCATCTGTCTTTTTTCAAGGAAGTAACCTTTATTGTGCTAGGTGTGGGCGATATACCGGTACACACAATAAGCACAAAATTTGTCAGCAGGT